GTGATTTATACTAAAAATCAATGTAAATAAAAGTATGATAGTTTTATTTAATTATAATACGAATCGACCTATCTCACCTAAAAATAAATAAATAAATAAAAATAAAAATAAAGTGTGTTCGAAAATCCTACAATCTTACTCCACACTGTTAATTTTTCAATCACTCATAGAGGATGTCTACCAAGTAGTTGAACTATTGCATTATTAAAATGAAAAGAAAAATATGAAAATATATTAATTATAAATAAACACCTTGTTTAACGTGAATTTGAGACTAGTTTGATCCACAGTATTAGAAGATTAATTAAGCTATGGAAATGATAAGTGGTACTAGTACAATTTTCTGAACAATTATCTCGTATTCCCAATGAATTCGCATGTTCCATCCAATTTCCAAAACAGAAGAAAGATAACCAAATTTACTAAATTAAGAGCTCTACGGGAGTGTTAGGTGATACGCAAAAGATAAATTAACAACAGCTTTTGCCATTTTTGACGAAGGATTGACTGAAGTGACACCACTTGATCTTATAAATAGTAAAAACTAATAATTGTACCATTCCAGTAGATATATCAGAAGTATAATGATCTTTTAGGCTGGATTTCATATGGTTGGAAAGCATATCATACAATCACAATCTTTGGATTTCTTCTTTTTGTGTTGGGATTGGCATCAAGTGCACAATGATTGAATTGCACCTTTGCTCAAAAATCAATGAATAATCATCCATTATATATCTGGCCTCATGCATATACAAGTGACCCTTAATTTTCGACCAGGACAAATACCTTTGGACTCGCAAAAACAGACAAAGCAAACCGCACCTCTCAGCAGGCCATAAATGTATATACCAATAAATGCCTGTCAGGTTATAGCCCTTTTTCAATCATCACGTTTGTTATGAACTCTATAATTAACTATAAGTTTGGAAATTTTTTTAGATAATGAAGGCTAGAAAATTGTATAAGATTTATTTTTTGCGAACAATTTCAAAAATAATATTCTAATGTTCTAGCAAAACAAAAAAACTACTCTCTCTCTCTTGTTAAGAGCATCTCCAATGTTTTATTGTTGTTTATTGAATAAATGTTGTCAAATGTCAATAAATTAAATGGAGTGTGAACCATGTAGGAAAAAAATTAAATTTACAACTATGAAATTAAAAATATCTACAATGCACAATGTACTCTAACTACAATATTATCTACCTACCAAATATTAAAATTTTAAAATATGTAGCAAGAAAATTAATTAGATAATTAAATAGTTTAGAACTGGTAAAAATAAATCTCTCTCTTCTCTTCATTGACTAGCTAGAGTGTGGAAGAAATGTAGATGAACAACATTCTTCTCTACATTGTGGACATTAATTATGTCCACATCATCACACCATTTGTGATCACATTATGTATTGGAGGATGAAAAGTTGTGACATTGCTGAATATGTTGATGTCATGTAATGTAATTTTCCACCACAACATGTGAGCATTGGAGATGCTCTAAATCTAGATACTATATTGTTATATATGAGAAGTATATATTTACTTTAATATCTCATAGGCTTTAGAGCATCTCCAATGCATAAATGTAATTGTAATAAAATTACACTCTACATTAATAACATATTTAGCAATTTATCCACTTTTAATCATCCAATGCACAATGTCATCACAAATGTAGTGATGAGGTGGACATAATTAATGTCTACAATGTAAAGAAGAATGTGGTTCATCCACATTCTCATTCACATTCTAGTCAACCAATGGAGAGAGGAGGGAGAAATATTATTACCATTTTCAAAATATCTAATTATTTAATTTCTTTTCTTTCATATTTATATTTTTTTTATTTTGGCCAAATGGACAATATTGTGTTTGATTATATTGTGCATTGGAGATGCTCTAATATAAATGTAGTTGTCTTTACTATAATATTTGTTCTGTTTTTTTAGGAGAACTCGTATTTAATGAAATGAGGAAGCTTACCAAGAATATCTTACATGAAGAAATCGGCTTTCACTTTTGAACATCTCGACCATATCTTGAGAAATTAAAGGAAGGATCATTGAAGACCCTTTACCTTGAGAAGATTGTCTATATACCTACACAAAGACTCAACTGAAGATTGTTGCATTATTCGGAGTTTGATACATTCTTGAACTTCATTTAGTGTTTGTGAGCGTTTTGTTTTTCGAGTTTATTTCTAATCAATTTTTCAGTGTTCTTACACCACTGAAGAATTGAGTTTGTTTTTCTTTACAAACACTTATCGTACTTAGAGATTAAGTACTAGTATAGTTGGTATGGATCCATAGCTATTGTGAAGTCCACGTTTGTGGCCCAAGAACTAGAAAGGAGTTCGAGTATTGTAAGTCCAAGTTGTACTTTGTGCGCGCAAATTGGTCTATTAATGAAAGAACACACCTCGCATACTCTAGTTTTTAAGTTATTTGCTATTAATTAAAGAACACACCTTAGCTATTAATGTAAGTCCAAGTGATTTTTAAGTTATTTGCTTCCGCTTTTATTTTTGGTGTTCGAACACACCTTGCATACTCTAATTTTTTTTGTCCCCGCATACGTTCAATTGGCACCAGAGTAGTGTTACTGTTCTAATCACTTTTAGGATATACTGTAAAGTTTGGCTTTCAAGTTCTGACCATACCATTTTGAATAAAGATCATGTTTTAGTCAAGTGTATGCTTGCAGTTTATTTATTTATGCGAACATAGTTCCTTTATCCCTTCTTTTCATTTTTGAATCATCTCTATTCACTTAATCATTTTACATACCCTATGTTTGGCCCGTCCATCAGGTTTGGTACTTGTCGTTGGTCAGTCGTCTTTGACTGACGGCTAACCTGTTACAGTAGGTTAAAAGATTGGAAGGAAGAAAATTTTACTTTTGGTACCACAGGTATACCACCTTTCGCTTTTGGTACCTGATGTTCCAACTTAACCAATTTTGATCAATAAAGTTTTCAAAATTAATTGTATTTGTGCAAACTTTAAAAATTTAAACTGATGAATGTTGCCTTCCCCCGTCGCCTCCGGTGGCAAATTTCAACAAATTATATACCATTTTGAAGCTCTCGACTCGACCTATGTACCGGTATATTTTATTTTACCATATGATATCTCAAATTCATAAAAGTCGCCATTAACGGTTCCAAAAAAATTTGACCAAATTGCGCTTGATCGTATTCTACCAAAAATCTCACCGTTGGATTTTCATTAAAAATATACATATAGAAAGTACATTTTTTTTTCTTTTCTTTTGTGGAATTCAAAGGTATATTCCGATCGTAAATCGTGTATCCCCGGCAAAGTCTCAATTTTTTCCAGCAGCAACAACTCGACGAAAAACTGGAAATTTTTCCGGCTTATATCTGGCGATCGCCAGAGAAAAAGGTCATTGTGACTAATTGTCCGGGAACAAGTTCCCAGTGATTGTTCGTCTCCAATCTTGCAAAGAAAATGGCACGTTGACACTTCATCCCTCGTGCTCACGCTGGATTTGATCATTTAACGACTTTCGAGAAGAAATTGAAGAGAATTTGATGTGAATCATAATAAACAAGTTGATATAAAACCAATATCAACTACATTGATTTTTTTATGGTGAATTGCTATTAATTTATCAACATGATTGTTCGATATTATTTACAATGAACATTATCTCTTTCGATCTCTAAATATATGCCGTCCAACTTTCAGGCGAGTTGTTGCGGCTGGAAAAACTGGAGACTTTTAGGATCCTAGAAAAATTGTATTTTCTATATGTATATTTTTCATGAAAATCCAAATGTGTTTATCTTTAGTAGCGCTCAGTCAAACTTCAAGGCACAATTTGGCCAAAAAATTTTGGAATCTCTAATAACAATTTTTACGAATCTCAAGATATCATATGGTAAAATAAAAAGTACTGTTATATAGGTCGAGTCGAGAGCTTCAAAATAGTATATAATTTGTTGGAATTCGCCACCAGGGGCAATGACAACCATCAATTATAACTTGTTTTTTAACATTTGGACCAAAAACGATTAATTTTGAAAACTATAATTACCAAAACTGATTAAGTTGGAACCTTAGGTACCAAAAGCGAAAAGGTGATATACTTTTGGTACCAAAAGTGAACTTCATGTTTTTTACCGACGCACAAAGAAAATGTTTTGTTGGGAATAAACAAGATATTGAGGAATTGTCCATACGTAAAATCATAATTATTGATACGGGCTTTTTCCATGGAAAAGAGGAATCTTGTATTACAATAGAAGCAAAAGTGATGTGGGTTATTCAAGAATCGAAGTCCATTTTCTTTATAAAAAGAAGATATCAATGAACTTCTATGAAATGGTTGCACAGGATTCAGCCAATTGTCTTGATTCTGGAATAGCATTGAGAAATAGGAATCCGCGTTATCAAAGGATTTCCTGCTATTCTTTCTAGTATAGTAGTATGGAATGAGTCAATCATCCACTTTGGTATGTTATCGAACAAAAAGGGTCTTCCTTTCGCGATCAAGAATTTTGATTTTTGAGAAGTGTCGTGATCGTCCAATAACAATAAGAAGAGTTTCCATACATTTAAGATTTCGCAACAAACAGTACAACTGAAACGATAGGCGAACAAGCATGGACAATAAGGCAATCTTTAGATAGAAAGAGCTTAGCTTTATAAGGTAGGGGACAAAGGGGACATCTACATGAAAAGAAAGAACCAATGAGATAGCTAGTGTACGAAGGTAATACTGATGGATAATAAAGGCCAGTCGAATCATGCCCCTGTTGAGGCAGAGTTATTTGTACCCCTCTAACTAATTAGCTTAAGACCACTGAACAAACTTGGTTGATGAACATAGTTTATGCGCCACTAATGTAGCGGCTTGTCGAGCATTTGACAAACTCACACCATCCATTTGAAATAGGATTTGTCCTGTGGACACACGAGCAATCCAACCTGTATGATTTCCTATTCCTCTTCCATTTCTAACTTCTTTAGGTTTTTTGGTAATAGGGATATCCGCGAGAACTCTTACCCATATCTCACCATTTTCGGGATTGTCCGCTCATAATCAACCACGGCTGACCAACGACAAGTACCAAAATTGATCGACGGACTAAAATAATTAAGTGAATCTATAGAGTACGAAAAGTGAAACGATGGGATAGTTAGGGTATCAAAACAACATTTTTCCCGATTTAAAATTATAGTAAAGCTAGCTTAGCTCAGAAAAATAAATAAATAAATAATTAAAACAAAGTAAAAGAATAAACAAAACTTGTAATGGACAACATATATAGCTATATGTATGTATATGTGTATTATTATTATCATTGTTCAGTAAAACTGTTTTCATTGGTCAGTCAGTGTAAGGCTGAGAATCCATGCAAAGATGCACTAGCTTCCTTTGGTACTGTCCGAAATACTCGGCAACGGCAACAACATCTTCATTTACAGGGTTAAGCCCAGGCAAGTCAATAACCTTCTCCTTTAGACAAGTATCTTCGTCTTCACCAGAATCCAATCGCGACAGAAATTCTGAATGGATTTGACGGCAAACGTCAATGAACATGGCTGCAGTGTCTGGCAGCTGTGCCTGCCGAAGTGCGGCTAAAGCTTCTTGCAGTGCACCGGCCGCCACATACAAAATCAAGGCCCTGCACACATTTCCAATCCAAAATATAAAATACAACAGAGAGAGATTGCTTAAAATTAGTAGATATTCTTGCATTGCAAGGTTGTTGATACCTCCAGATGTTATGTTCAGCATGAAGAACGTGTTCTGCCCATCTTTGTAACACCCTGTGAATTCACAAAATTATCACACAGATGAATGAATATTAGGAGCCAAAACTCGTTAATTAATAATTGTGTCCATAGAAAATGGAATTAAGAATATGTATTGGAAGAACGATGCCGGATAGGACTGAACAATACATGAAGAGTCAATTTTGGCAATTAATCACACAACAACGCTTACCAAGTTGCGAGTCATAATTCTCATGGCATTGTTGGTCAGAGAGAAGTATATAGGGGTGTGATTGGTTATGAACTTAACCAATAAAAAACCAATCAAAACACAAATTTAACTCAACTTTAACCCAATCTCACTATCTCCAATATTAACAACAACAACAACGACAACATATCCAGTATATTGGAGATATTGTTAATATCTCCAATATTAACAATATAATTAAATAATATCAACCAATCATTCTTACACATCACATCAACTTTAATTCACTATTCATCCACTCACATAATTTTAACTAACCATCACTTCCAATCATTTTTCTCCTACTTTTATATCAAATCAACTTTAATTATTTTATTTTAAATATTATTTTAATTTAAACTTAAATTCCCAATAACAATTAACCATACCACCTTTTTCAAAATTAACTATGGTAAAAAACCAATCAAAAACCAGTTAAATCCATATCCAATCACACCCGAGATAATCTACTACTTTGGAGGTTTCTAAGGTAACAAAGTTCAAGACATTTGGAAAATGCCATGTCGTATCCATACCCGAAAAAGGTACAAGAGTACATACTTTATTTCTAATTTATACTACACAGAGATAAAATTGCACGCAGCCCGATGTCACGTGATATGGTGCAGATATTTGAGTATAACCCATAGCATTGTAGTAGTGCAAATGACAGAATGATCATATAAAATTGAGTTAGATACGATTTAAAACAATCAAGACTTTCTTTCTGTTAGGGAAAATAAGAAAAACCAGAACCTCGCATAATCGGATCCTTTTAAGTGTGTTGCAGCCAATGTTGCAGCATCAGTCCAGCATCCTGCATCTTGTAACTGCAAAATGGTGGACAAACATGTGAGGAAGCAAACCAGAAAAGACCCTATTTCAGATCACAATCCAACAGCCGGATTGTTGTTCTCAAATCATTTCTTGCAAAAATAATAATCATAGCTGATCATAATAAGAAGTCAATGTTAACATGCATAGAAGCTAGCTTAGACAAGGATTTTATAAATGAAAAGTCAAACAAGGTCATGTGCTACTTTCCATGCTGGGACTATCCAACATACAAGCATAATCAATGCTACAACCGTAAACCCACTCACATACATTTGCGTTCGGCTCAAGCTGTAAACCCGCTCACGAAAAGTACAACCAAATTCAATTTTATCACAATAACAGAAATCTATATTAACTCACATGTGCTAGAGTTACATCAATCTATACATATTGGCCCATTCATTTACAAATCACATTATGATTTATCATAAAGAAACTAAGCGTGCTGTAAAATGTGAACTACTAGATAGGAAACTTGACAAAAAAAACAAAAAAACAAAAAAAACAACAAAAAAAAATCAAGAACTTACAGAGACAGAAATTATCAAATGATGCATCCGAAAAGGCAAAACAGAATATACCCCATTCTTAAGTACAGTATTTCATTTGTTTGATTTTGATAAATAGATCATGGCACTATGGAAGTAGTTCGTTATACATTCCTACTACACAGTGGTAAGACGAATATGCAAGATAAACTATACCTGGGAACAAGCTTCCTGATACCTCCCTACTGCACAAAGCAGATGTGTGCCAGACATTGACCTATCATTTCTGACCATATTGGCTGCAACAACCTACGGACAAGTAATAGATGATTAAACAGTATAATTTAATCGAAACGTAGCAACTCAAAGAAACAAGTACCTTCACAGCCAGTTCAAGTAGAGAAGAAGATACAGCAGAGGCAAGGGCAACGGCTCGCAGAGCATTTGAATAGAAGTAAGAGCTTTCTGGAGAAGTAGAGAGGAGCAAACTTACAGCAGCTTCTAAGTTTCCAACCGACACTAGTCTGATCACAAAGTAAAGATAAAAGAATAATCAAAGGAAATAAACATCACAACAACACTACAGTACCCCAATATTGTAGCTTCTAGAGGACGAATGTGATACAATAAAACATGAATATATATTATTTGGTGCAGCAAAGTGATAGCATAAGCCGTCGAGTTGAAAGATTGATTTGGAATAAAATATTTCAGAATCCTACTAGATCATTGCAGGATAGCAGAGCTGGGCGTTGATAGACAGTGACTGATCATAACTTTTTGGCAAGGAACAAATGACTATTGCTATAGTAGTTTAGAGGATAATGAGGCAAAATGCCAAAAGAGTGTCAACTGAATGCTCCCATGCAAAATGACTAAATTTGACACCTATATTACACCAATTTCACCAATTCAGTCACATTTAAAAGGCAATGGGGCATTACTCGGAAGCTCAAAATATGGAGCATTTAATCATGGCAAAGGGGATTGCTACAAGTATCTAACAGTAAGATCCCATGTTAAATTCTTTTGAGACACTGTAATCATTACTAAGATAGTTATAACTGATTGCTGATAAGCAAAAAGGAGACAACATTGGCCCTCCTACTATCAGTATCTGTAGTTGAAGGAGGGATATGACAAAATCCAACCGTGAGATTTGACAATTTCACAGAGAAACCAAGTAGCTTCAAAATTGAAAGGAAGCACCCTGAGGTTAAACCCTGGCTTAAATTTGAAGGTGAAACTGCAATACTTTAATGAAGTAGGGGGCAGCATGATATATTTTCCACTTGAGGAAGGAAGAAATATAAATGGAATCAAGCCTCCAGTTTTTTTTTTTGGTAATTTAGGATTTTCCTGGGTTTTCAGTATATACCGCAAACCTGAGGGGTTTCTATTTTCACTTTCTTTTCTTTGACAGAGGCATTAGCACCTAAGTATTTGGTTGTTGATCCTAAACAGTAGCATCTATTTCTGAAAAGTAAAGGGAAGTTATAAATGATCAGTAACTTCACTGTGACACAATAAACTTAACCACAACGAGCGAGCCACAAATGAATGTTATCTACATTTCTAAAGAATTATTGGACCCATGAATACGATAACTACACAGAAAATATCAATATTGTGAATCCGATAAAAAAGAAACATCGAACTCTAACGTGGATCTGTTGAAGCTGAATCTTCCATCTCCAGACAGTAGAGGCAATGCTTTCAATGAAATATGTTCATCTCTAACAGCAATGCCATTGTTCCACCTTCCATCCACAAAATATGTTCGACAGGTGACATACAAAGATTGTGAGGAAAGACTTACTCATGCACATGGTTCTGTATTGCCTCTTCACCATCCAATTTTTCATGCCAATTGATACGTTCATTAGCACGCTCCCACAATTCTCGTTGTTCAAAAGCCATCAATTTAAGTTGAGAATTAACCTGTGCGGCAAAAAAGTCATATACAAGGAATTCTCAATTGCAGCAAACATCTACACAATGGCCATTGGCCATCACAACTTTCTTTCCCATACAAAGCGTGGTCAGTCATAAAGAGATTTTGGACAGTGTAAAAACTAATTTGAAAAAATCTATCACTCATATTTAACCAACCAAAACATCCTTTTGCCTCGATCCAGGCACTGATTTTCCTTTTGAAGATATCCTGCTCAACATAGATTCCTCGTCAATTTCAGCATTTTGAGCTGTATGCGGGCCTTTTTGTGATGGTCTTTTAACCAATCTATTCATGAAGTGGTTGAGAGCATTAGGCAACTGAAGCCAGAAAAGCGCTTCCATGGATTCACCAAAGATGGCAGCTGCAAATGCCAACCTCAATGTGGAGCCTTTGTTAACAACTTTAGCATATAATCTTAATCTCTCATCATCAAGCAGGCAACCTTACATTGGGAACAAAAAGAAATTATAAGTTCTTAATGTAACTTGTGAAATTATATTTTATCAGGTCTAGACAGGAAAGGAGAGCACCTTCCTTACGGTAAGGCTCTAATACTTTAAGAAGCATCTCCGGAACAGCAGAGTCACCAATATAAAGTGAATCCATCATATAACCACGGAGATCCCCGGATGACGGGGTTCCTGGAATATGTGAATATTCCTCAATAGCGGTTGAAGTTAATACATGAAACCACGAAGGTTTCACGCCAAACTGTAAAATCATCCGCAATGCCTGGGAATAATAAAGCATTCAAGATAAGTAGTTTATGGCAAACCACTCTTCATAAGCACCTTCCAAGGTCAAAGATTCCCAGGATACATTTATGATTGCACCAGCATTATCAGTATCTTGTAAACATTATGTAGAACAAAATTAAAACACCCATAGACAAAAAAAGTTAATAGTACCATATTTTCTTCTCTAATTTGCTTTAAAGTCATGTTTCAGAAGATACCAGGGCATGTGGTACAGGGAGCAATACAGGGGATGGCAAAGGTACGGGCCGAAATCTCTCTTTAGTTCGTGTTTGCAAACCGAAGCCTCCCACTTTTTGGTCACTTCTACATGCATAGAAAATTGACTTTATTAATTGTGTGAAACCGTTACAAGTTGTGCGTTTTCTAACATCACACTATCATAGTAACAAGTAACATGCACACAAATATATAGATATATAATGAATTACAAATCACAAAATAAAACAATGAACGGTCAAGTGAGATACAGAATGCTGCTTCAATCCATTTGCACAGGAGATACGATAGGTAAGCAAACTTCACTTTGTCCAGAAATTAAAATTCCAGCCTCTGACGCACCAAATAAAACTGATCTGACAAGTGCTTATAACAGAAGTAGAAGTGCCATATCATTGAGACTATCTCTCATCACAACTAACTAGAGAAGATACCTAATGTGACATCAATACTTTGTACTGGTACTTGGAAATTTTCTCTATGCCTTTACTTGTCACCTTTCCTACTTCTTATTGGACACTTTTCATCTTTATATTTTTACCTATCACTTCAGTTTTTATATTGTCAAGTTTCCACTTTCCAGACCTTACAGCTCATTATGAATCTTTCAGAAATGATAAATATAAAGGTTTTCCAAAGGATAATACTGCATCGTATGTAATTTGAAAAATAATTGACTTTGTAAGATAACTGAACATATTAAATCAGGCCCAGCTCCAGGTTATCTGACTCATTTAGGAATTGATACTCCCACCAACTAAACTAAAAATCTACATGGACCAGAATCAGGGCACATTTGAAAATGTGGACAAGTTGGGAAAGAAAGGGAAAAGACAAGTAAAATACTCTCTTATCCATGCATTTGGGAAGCATTAGAAGAGCCCGTTTAAAATCTTGGGCCTGGTAAAAATCCCACATAAGGGTGATAATGCATCAGGCCCCAAGTGGTGTTATTATAATCCCCTTTCCTATCCTTGCTATGAAAAGACAAGAATAACCTTTAAGAAAGACATTGCCCCAAAATGTTAAGGGAATTAAAGTAGTTTTGAAGGTCATCATGTTTTGTCAAGAATTTTAAAATATAAAAGTAACTTGTTGTAGGTCCCACCAAACTTTATACTCACACTTCCCAAAGGCATCTATTTAATTTATGCTAAAGGAAATAAATGAAATATTTACTCAGCAATATTGAATTGGAAAGGAAAGGCAATTAATCCCATCAAAGATTCCAAATGTGCCTTCGAAGTATTAGTGGTGGGAACCTTGTGGCTGTCACACCATTATTTCAATTCAATGTTTCAAAGGAAATGTCTTTGGTGAGAAGGGAGTTGACCAATCCATTTTTTAAAACAGATACTTCATGGCCACGCTCCAAACAAGTGAGATCCAAATTTTCGATGCAAGGAATCTTATAGTAAAACTGTCCTAGGACATAACCATGTAGTCTTCTAGCACCCTACTCTTAAGGTACATAAACAAATTGTTGAAGCAGTTTATAAGATGAGATTTTATATAGCAAAATTAAGGAACCAATGGACATACACATTAAGTTCAACAAGACGGAAACTGCTATCAGCTCCAGCAATGCACAGTACCAGAGGATCATCCTTGTTTGTCCGCAATGGTAGCCAGTCAAGCTCAAGTACTAAAGTTCCAGGAAATTGTGGTTGTAAAAGGGAATTAGCCAATGGATCAGCTGAATCCTGCAAATTGCAAAATCTTAAAATCTGAGCGCCGGACAATCCTAGATCTACAAATAAAAAAAGTTGACTAATTGTTTTACATTCCCCATAGGAGTATCCTGAGAAATCTTTCATAGATAAAATTGGAGACAGAGTACTCTCCTAATCCAACTCCTCGGGTGAAGGAACTTGAGCAGAGGTGAAGTTGGTAGAATAGTATTATTTCTTTATATACACTTACAAATATAAATATCACCTTCTCTAGGTTGTCATCTTTAGCTTGAGATACATGAACAATCAATTAACATACACATAGGTAGAAGTTGAAACTAGTGATATGTGCTTACAAGATCAAACACAGAACATGTATTGTCATAAAATAGCACGGCAATGCGCCCACGGCTACTATCTCCAGGGACAACTGGTGAGAACTTGATTCTCCTAATACCATCTCTGTGAGTGTTGAATGAGGATGACTGCCCAGTAGTTACATCCCACCAGCGTATGTTCCCTGCCCTGTCTCCCATTACCTGAAATGCGAATGCGGAACTTCACTTATGAAAGATTCCCAAAGAATTGAAAACTGGAACTTAATATTCAGTGAAATGGTATACCACATGAGGCAAACGATAAGCCATGGCTGTAATCAGACCGTCAGAGGAGACAAAAGAAGATGATGGCCATTTGGGTCTGAAATAGTTAGAAAGTAAAATGAGATATCACGATACAGCATTTTCGTTATATGTTCAGATAACATGGATCCACTATTCTTGATAAGCTATTGAAGAATATAATATGAACAAATTTTAATAAAACTGAAGTATAATTAACAAGGGTCGGCAGGGGCAAACCCGGAAATTTAACTGAAGAGGCAGAAGAGCATGACAATTTTGAAAAGCCAATGGCGAGTAGATGACAGGATCAGGATTTGTTGCATTAAAACTTCATTTCTAACTGGTTGCCTGACTGGTTTTTATCATTTTTTCAATTGGTGTAAGAAAATGATTTTTTTTTCAATTGTCTTGATGAGAAAATCTTTGTTTGAAATAGAAGGCCAAAAGAAAAATTGGAAGGGGGAATAACTTGTAAGTTTCTACTC